TGTCTTACACTATCACTTTGCCTGTTTGGAGTCACCTTCTGTTATTTGTTAAAACATTTAATGCTATGTATATAAACCCAACATCTATGAGCAGTAAGTGAAACTGAAAAAGTTACTTAGAAAAATATGGTAATTAATACAGAACAAGCAAGCATCCTCAGGTTTTCTGTTACCAAGTAAGAGCCATCTTCACAAGTTCACAGGCTTCTATAAATTTAAAGTCAAGGATACTGTTGCATCATGAAACACAAGACCAGTTTTTAGAAGAGCTTATTAAGTTCTTTGCAGTGTTAGTGAATTATTGGCATATTTGGAGAACATACAATTAACTTTCATAGACTAACGATACACATTTCTTCTTTCTCTTTGAAAGAGGAGTTTGAGGTGCTTCAATTGTGAAACAGTCCAAAAAACCTCCCCATTTAAGTTTCCTGCTGGTATATATTCTTACAGATCATACATCAGATCTGTGTAAGCTGCTTCTTGTTCTATTCTTTCACATTTTGCCTACATCAAGAAGAGGACCTGTTATTAACATCAATGCCACTGAATGAGATAGTGAATGACTTGAAAACGTGAAAAAGGAAAGCAAGCCAAGATTTTAGATTCTGGAAGTCACATTTAGTGTTAATTCATCACCAGATGTGTTCTCCTTCCTATGATTCTGACCAATATTGCCAGGCTTTAATTGTTAAAATGAAACTTGTAGGAGATCCTCTCTGGATGTGGTGTTGGGGGGACATGGTTCTGTTCAGAACCGTGCAGCATTCTTGAGACAGCAAGAAGCCATTCAAACACAGAACGGCCTCCACAGAAACGTACAACTAGAAAATCCTGAATGACTCCTCAGTCCCAACAAAACAGAGCTGAACGTGAAAAGCCGCAGTTCAAGAACATGCACAGCTGTCACCTGGAAACCCCGAGAGTCTGCAATCCCAATCAAAAGTAACCCAATTCAGCAACTAGAACTGTGTGCAGCAGACGGACAAACCACGGGCTGATGTCCTCACACCTTGAACGAAAAAGAGCATCACAACGTCTTGTGACAGCATCAGAGACTGTTTGCCTGAGGTAAGGTAGAACAAGGTGGCCGAGGTTATCACCGTCTGGGTGATGGCTGCTGGCTTAGATTGCTCTCCCTGAATGGGATGAATTCAAAAGCAGCATTTTTGTAAAGCTCAAATGCTGTTAATGCAACTGAAATAAATTGCCAGTTTACCAATAGTCAATTCAATATTCAGGAGCTCAAGATTTCAGCTCCTGAAATATGCCGGTTGGGGAGGGAAGTTAGCATATGCAATATTGTCTCAAGTCAGCACCAAAATAACAATAAAAATATGAACACTAGGGGGTGGGGGATCTTATTTCCTTAAAGTGTTGTTCACATCAACACTTTTTTTTTTTTAAACCAAACTAAGCACATTTCTTTTTAAGGAGGTTATTAACATGGCTTTAGAGTACTGTCTCTGCTTAAATGACTTTACCTAGATTAAAAAAATTGCTATTTTAAAAATCAGAGTATAGGTAAAACAACAGGATTTAGCTGTCTTCCTGTACCTGCTATTGCAAAACTGTAGACGCTCGTCCACTAAGCACAAGGCTCAGCTGCTGTACATACACCTGAGCCCCTCCCGCTTCTGGAAGAGGAGGAAAAGAAAGAGAAAGGAAAATAACCTAGAACATTCTTAGAAAATTCAAGGAAAGTCACCTGCGTGAAGAAGCCAATTGCTTTTTGTTTCTACCTTATTCCTTTCTAATTTAGATTGTAAATTCTTTAGGAAAAGGGCCATCTTGTCTTTACCACACAGCAGTGGGCACGTGTGAGCACCTGAAGCAGCATCAGCTGCTGCAGAGACATATGGGCGAGCAGGAGAGAGCTGGTGGGACAGACGAGGGCTGCAGCCCCCTTCGCACTCGTCACGCCTGGTGACATACTTGAGAAAGCATCACTCTGCAGCGGCCGCTCACGTGTTCATCCCATTAAGCACACGGCTGCACGAGCTCCTGCCTGCACAGACTCGACTGCAGCGACAGCCTCTACGGAACTCGAGGTGGTACTTTGGAAGCAGACAAGGAAAACAACTTGTCAAATCCTTTAATTTCTATGACACTAAAACAGTCGACAGGGTAAAAGGTATCGGAGGAACAGGGCCAAAGATAAACATCACATTACAGACAGTAAACAAAGCTTCCTATGAATGCAAAAAGTGTTACTCGTACAGTAACCAATACTATTATCTTTTAGCTTAAAGTGGTAAGTATGTGTGCTTTACGCTTAGAAATCCCACAATGTTACAGTTCTGCCACTGCATTTAATATTGTGCTACCAACACAGAATAAAGCCAAGAAATGGCTAACTTAAAACACTTAGTTTACATCTATTTTTTGGTCTTGCGTGGTATCTAGTTGGAGATGGAAGCATTTATGTGCTTTTTGCCTCATAAGAAGTGAGGCAGATGTTAATGTTACTAAGATCAGCTGTATATACCTTGAAGGTATAGACCACCTGACTCTACATGAGTCAAAATACTAGGAATGTATCGTCAATATCCATTAATGAATTACCAGTTGCTTGTATCTAAGTGACCATATGCTTCTGTGGAAAGTATATAGTGACCTGTATCTTACACATAGTATATTTGTAGCATTGTATCTGTAAAGAAGTTTTGTATAAGCATGTCATTTTCAAGGCCAAAGGCATATTTTAATGTGGACAGTGTCACAATATAAACAGCTGATTTTAAAACAAAACACTGTCAGTAGTTGCACAGGGTAGTTCTGAATTTCTCATCCACCTTGGAAACCACACAGCATCTTAAACATCCTCCAGATTTCAGTGTAAAGTCTTCACTAACGTAGCCTTAGCCCATACATCTCTCTGACTGCAGAATCCAGCAGAAGGGGTGGGAATAAGCAAGGCTGTGACATTTGTTTTGAAAGAGAGTTTTAAAGTCTTGCCTGATAGCAGGAACTGTCTCTGCTCAATTTAAGTAATTGCCCAACGCACTTTCGGAAACCACACACACATTATAATCCCATCTTTTTCTATGTTCTTGGGTCACTCTCCAAAAGCATGAGGAGCAAGACCTATGCTGGTTCACACTCCGTAGATTTATTCCTTAAATTCATTTCTTCAGTTTCACGGAGTGTATTTAAGTAACTGTCTTAAAGTTGTAATAGACATATTTTAATAAAGCTAACTAGCCTCACACACCACAATTCACCAGCCCCATTAAGACACGAGGACAATTTTGGTCACACAATCAATTGCGTGGACAAGTGGATACATTTCAGTTATTTTTAACTATAATGCTAATACATAAGGCTACAAGCTCTGAGAATACCTGAATGATGCCCCTAATAATAAATCTCCCAATATTTTAAATGTAAACACATTTTAAAACAACTTTTAAATATAGATCCCTGTTCTTGGTTGCAGAACGTTGACTCAGATAAAGATTTCTCACTAAAATGTCAGCATTAAACTCAAACAACAGAAAAGATGCTTGTAAATCTGAGTGAAATCAAGCAATTTTACTTCATCTTCCAAGACTCAGTACAACACATCAATAGTCAGTTTAATAAGCCTTGAATTTATACTAATCACACACACAAAAAAAAAGTAACTCTCTAGCATCATATTGACTACAGCAATATTTACATTATGCCCCAGTTCAAGTCAGAAAAGGCAGCTGCAAAAAAAAAAAAAAGAGAAATCCTCGTGTGTACGGGAGCTTCATTTTTGAAGCACTCGGGGGGGACGGGGAAAGCTCACATTCACACACACAGCAACAAGGTCTACAGCCCAGAGCAGCCATCTCAGGAGAACAGCGTGAGTCTCTGACACAAGGTTTATCTTGTTTCAGAACCACGCTGGAGAGCTAGTTGTCACCGCTTGATCACGTGCAAGACCTCAAACTACAGACAGACATACTTGTTTTACAGAAGTGGGAAATAAACAGGAACATTATCTGACTCCCTACGTAATGGGCACACACTGAAGGTGTCCCCATTCCAATCTGTTTGAAGATTACTTGTGGCAGAGCAGGACAAAAGTGCAACCAGATTTTGAATACTTATTTGGGTTTTGGTTGGTGGGATTTTTCTTTACTATAAACTGCTTAAAGGATTCCTAAGGCTGCAGTAATGCTAAGAAAATGGACGTTACCACCCACTGATGCCATCCTGGATCTAAGGCCTCTGAGCAGTTAAACTGTAACACCGCAGAAATTCATACTATCAAAACTGAACACACAAGTTTTACTTACCAAGCCACCTATGTCATCTCTATAAGCTTAGAATTTAATTTACGATATCTACACATATAGGCCTATATACATGTTCATGTGTACATTAAAAAACAGGCTCGTGAAAGATACTGGAGTATGCCACTGAACAGAAATCCTGGTAACTATAGTATAAATTCAGAGAAATAATTTACTTCAAATTAAAGAAGATTGTAAAAAACTGCAATTGCAGCCTCCTAGGCCTGTGCTACTTGCATTGATTACAAGTACTGCTTATACACAGTAGTTCATAAAGAATTTTACAGGGATGTACTTGGTAGGGTAAGTGACCTCCATGGCACAATAGCTTACAGAACTGTAAGAGCTGTGACAGGGGGTCTACACAGCTTTTTACAAAGCATACTAGGCTCAGATTTAACACTGAAGTTAATCTTCATCTTGTACTTCGCTCTATTCCGTAAGACATTGTCTGACTACCAGTAAAGCAACCTGGCATTTATAGCTGAGAACAGAAAGCTGAAAACGCTGGCCTTCCAAGAAAGCTTTGTGACATTAGACTATGCACCTACTGTATCCAGCATGAAAGGAACTGTGTTCTCTACCAGTTACTTCCATTTTTAACACATTCTTAGTGGAACTGTTTATCTACTGTCAAGGATACCTACTCCAGGTAGTTTACATTTCCAGCAAGGGTCATATAGGGCTTCAAGTGTATCTTCTTTTCTTCTTTTTTTTTTTTTTTTAAACCAAGTCCCGAAGTTATTCTTTATAGCTGTGTCTATATAACACAGGAGGTACTGTGCATTCAAATGGTAGCAGGTTTATATCTAAAGATATGAGACTGTCAACAAATAAAGAGGAATGCATTATTGTCTTCAGCTTCCAGTCTTCAAGGCACCTCCTGCATTAACTTACGGGGAAATAAACAAGCAAACCAAAAGTTCACTGGAAAGAGAAGAATCTGATATACCTAACTTCCTCAGAATCACACAGCATCAAAAAATGAGACAAGGTTGGACCCAAATTATCAACAAATAAAAATCAATACAAAAATGCTGATGAGATGTAGGAATGCCATGAGGTTGATGTTTTCAGCTCTGTTGATTGCAGGTGATTGTTAATCACAGTGTTTTCTGATGCCCATTTGCAGACGGCTTTGTCTCCAAGTCTCTTGGATTGTTTGACAGATGAAGTTTATCTAATCCTGCAAGACATTACACAATAAGGAAGAAGTGAGATTCTCCCATGTTTCATGCATACAGCTATTCAAAAGATACAAACCAAATTCTACTTTGTGATTAAGGACTTCGCATTTGCTGAAGACCGGAATTGACATTCTAGCTGAGGTAAGAATTACTTCCGGGAAACTCCCTCAGTGGTGTTTTAAGTGAGAAAAGTCCATTACGATGGACAAGCGCGGAAGCGAGAGAAGCCTAACTTCACGTTGCTTAAATCACAGACTTGGATGTTAAGAACAGAGAAAGACTTGCAACCCTTTACTCTGTCAACCTACAAAGACCAAAATAATTACCTAAAATATTTCCTTTAAATTACGGCATATTTCTGAAAAGCATCCATTGCTGATCTTAAGATCATCGGTGATGACCACATCACCTCTCTAAACTGTTTATATGCCTAATAATATTTTTAGGCCTATGTTATTACTAATTTGTTTATCTCCATTTCCAGCCATTTGTTCTGATTGCATAGTTCTCTACTATGAGTGCTAATTAAAGTCTCCCATCCTGTCCCAGGCAAGTAGTTCAACTACTCTTTTTTGGGGGGAGGTGGGGAAGGATAGTAAATTTAACCATATTTTATTCACAAGAGGCACGATGTCAGTCCTTCCTTGCTTGCTCCACTTTCTCTCTGGTCTCCTATCAAGTCTCTAAAATTAAGGATCAAAAATGGAAAGAGCTTCTTATTAATTTAGTGTAGACTAAACGTTTTACTGAAGTGCCATGATGTACCAAGTTAAATTTCTTGCATCATCAGAATTGCAAAATTGACTGCACTACTAAAAAACCAACATCTACTCTATATTGTATTATTTGTAAGTCCCAATATGACATGAATGCTTTTTGTCACAGGCCTTGAATTTACCTAATTAGATATGATGCTCCAACAACCTCTAGTCCTTAGTGTCAGTTTTCAGCATGGGGGAGAAATGAGCACACAAATTTTGCTTCTCATTCTTTGAATTCCACGTGACAGTTTTTAACAGACACTGTTTGTTATGCATAGCATTGAAAGCAAACCCAGTTTGCGTCAGGAACCTGTGCTTGTGTCAAATGCAAACCTTTTACCAATTACTTTGCTTCTCCATTTTGATCACAATATTTACACAAAATCACACAATATGTGATAGCAAGAGGCCCAAAAAAATCCCTAAAAAATCCTCTAGAATGATGCCATCCAATGACGATTATCCTATTATGCCTGCATTTTGAAGTTTGTTAATCTGCTTTCAACATATATAATTTTTTAATTAAACACTATACGTTTAATACAGTAGAGTGCCATGAATTATCAAGATAAATCTTTTACATCATTTGCTTTAAGACAGAAACCTTAAAGTTTTACCAGACCTGTTGCTATAAGCCCATGCTGGCTGATGTTAATTTATTTCCTTCAGAGCTCTGCAACAGCCATTACATTATACAAAGTAATCCCTTTACAGTCAAAACAGTTGCACAAAAAAATAGGATTATGTAAGTCAACTGAAAGAGATGAATCAACGTCTTCTCATAAAATGACCTTAGCTAAAAGCTAGAGGATATTGTCAAATACATCATACTCACATCATATATCTGTCTCAATCAACAATGGAACTTCTCTGAAAATATTTTCAGCATAAAAATCAATGGACAGATTTACACACCCCTGGCCCACTACTCCGTTCCCTTGGAGCTTCAAAACTCAACATCAAAATCACAGAATACCTTGTTTTAATCCTACACTATCAGTCATTTTGCATTTCCCTATTTAGTAGGTCTGATTTTAACTTAATTGCCTCTAACCAGTAGAGGTGCACTCTAGGAAGTGCTTGGATTTTGTTTACCAGGGTCACAACTCTGGAAAAGCAGTAATCGGTGAAAAATAACATAAGTACCTTTCAGTACACTACAAACTGAATCCACAGTTACAAATAAACACTGAAGTTTCATCATTAGTCCTCTCAATTTAAGCAAATACTACTCTAGGGTTCCAGAGAGGTAGATGCTTCATTAATTAGTGAAGATAAGATATAGTAACAACACAATTACTAAATATGTACATTTTATCCACTTAATATCAGATATGTTTCAAGCCTTTCTTCTGTGGCCAAGAAACATGAATGCACAATTTGATCAAAACCTTGATTATATCAAGTACAGGTTTTACTCAGCCAGTTACTAAGATTCTGTATATTCGGTACAAAGATTTTCTGAACATGTAGTGCTCAAAAAAAAGGATCACAACAAAGCAGCTAAGACTTTCACTAAACTATTTTTAGGGAATGAATAAGTTGCTTTAAACAAAAAACAAAAAAGCCAACCCACAGACAAGTTGCAATTTTATTTTGGAGTAATTGCTCCATAGCAATGAGAATGTTTCTGTGCTCTCTAAAGGCTGAAAAATCTAACTGCAGATCAATAAGTACACGGACGTATCATTAAGATCAACATTATACCTTAGCTCTCAACTCTTCAAAAAATAACACAAAGCTATGCATTCTCACCTTAACTTACAGAAACTTCCACCAAAAGAAAAGTTTTCTGTGAGTTGTAACAGAACCTTAATAGTAGCACGTCAAGTTATCGATGCTGGAGAAAGGAAACGTTCAAGTACAAACTAAATTTTCAGTGCTATATTACCTAATGCCTTCAGGAGCTCTTCTCGCACAGCAGAAGTGAACTTTCTGACCAGACATAATGTTGTCATGATAGCGAAGAGCAAGTTGTAAGACAATACTATATAGAAGTTTCCCAGCCAGTTAAACCTTCCGAAGTCTCCAAGCAAATCAAATCTGGTGATTCCTGTTAAAATTGCATTTAAGATTTACATCAAAATCTTGATTACATTTTTTAAGAAACACAAAAATTTCATTCTATTACTTTTTACATATGGAAGAAAAATTCTTTCAGAAACAGACTATAAGACACATGGTTAAACAAACACACAAGACAATGTTCTCAAGGTTATTTTCCACTTCATTGACTGCTATAAAACTAAGACACACTTATCAAAATGTTTCTTGAGTTTCCTAGTAAAATGTTGAACAATGTGAGTTGAAGTAAATTGTCTATTCTAGATAAGAGTTCTGCTTTTATAATTTCAATAAATATAACTAGGAAAAAAAATCAGTATTAGTATGAAAACTGCTTGAAATCTCAGTTTCTATGAAATCCTTATCTATTCCAGAAAAGAATGAAATGCGCCGTGGGCTTTCTTATTAAAAAATACAGGTAGTAAAAAGCCTTTCCATGAGAGCCACAACATCTTACAGTAAACACTATGCCTTTGTAAGTGGTTTTTTTTTAGAGCCACAGCTTTTGAAACCAACGTTTAAAGACACCTTTCCAACTGCAGTTTTTCCCCTAGATCTACCCACCACTATCGCTACAGAGCATTTGCACAGAAGGAAAAGAGTTTGGCTGAAAGACAGTGCTGACAGGTCTTCTTCACAGCGGACCTCACAACACTGACACTTGGGCTTTGTGCTGATCAAAGGCTAGTCAATCACTACAGCTAAGTGCGCAAAATTTTTCCGAAACGTGGATGTTTCTATAGGGTCCATCCCAGAAGGCAGAAGAGGAAGAACCATAGGTTGTTCCTTTGCCAGGTCTGCACTGCATAAAGGGCAGAATATTGAGATGATACCCAAATAACAGTTGTCTAGGATTGATGAGCCATTATATTCCCAAAAAACTTCTGGCACAGATGATATCACAGTGATGTGCGCTCTCACAGTTGAGACCAACAGTGTGAGTGAAGGAAGCTTACCTCACCCCAGAATAAAATGGCAGCAGAAAACTAGGCAATCAGAAAAAAACCCTGGCTCTGAAGTTCCTGGAAGCAAGTTTTCTATCATCTGATTTTGAAAGAGTTTGGGGGCTTTTAAGAACTGTGACTTCAACAGTGATAATAAATGAAGAAAGACAGAATTAAGGGTCAGTTACCTTCCTTTCAAGGGTAAACCCGGCACTTACGAATCTCATTGCACCTTGATACCCAAGACTTATAGCCAGCTATCACAATGTTAAAAGATACGCACACTTCTTGTACTCAGCATCAGTCATTTAAATAAAAAATATGGGAATCAAATTTGGTATCTAAGGAAAACATGTCAAAATGAAGAAAATTAAAAGCAGGAGAATTTTCAAAGAATAAAGCAAAAAAATCACTGAAGCTGATCAAAATAACAAGAGAGGCAGGGAGAAATGTCAAAAAACTATAGAAGGTCTTAGTACAAAAAGAAGAAACTGGCTGACTAAATGAACTGGTAAACAGATGAAGGACAATAAACAGAGAGTTGCTTTCACACTTGAAGGTAAACAGTGTCCTTAACTTTTTCAAAGAAGCAGAGTATTTTAGTCAGACTGTAGAGCTACAGGAAAATTGAGAAAGTCATGTTTGAATGTATAGGCTTCCAAACCTTTAAAGGAAAAGAAACGAAACAGGTAGAGCACTGGGTAGAGAGTTCTCTGGAAGAGAAATAATACTTCTTGACACAGCAAGGTTCAGAAGAATAGCTAGCAGTAGAGCAGGCGTTATAAGGAAAAACAAAAATGAAGCCTGACACTTCTGTTAGAGCAGGTGGGAAAAATATTTTCCATAAATTACATTCGTTTTCCTGTTACAAATAAAAAAAACCCACCTCACTGCTCATCAGAAAAGATCTAACACAGTATCATTTTGTAAATTTGTGGGACAAAAGGGTTAAAAAGCTTTTGATGACTGTCTTGCAGAAGAAGTATCTACTCAGCCCACAGAGAAAAAAATTCCCAAGACTGCAATTTGAAAAGCTACTCAGTAACTGAACAGAAAGCTACATCTCTAGTGGACACAAATATATATCCAAGAAAGACGGTGACAATTTACCAAATAAACTATTAAAGAATTATTCAGGTTAAAAAAAATATATATACTATGTTTTTAGACTGTACATACAAGTAAGTTTCAAATCACCATTTACTTAAATCATAATACTCAAGAGTAGAATTCAAGGAAAATTTTTGTATATTAGAAAATTCAGTTTTGTTTGCAATTCTTTGTTTCTGTATTCTTGACTATTAAGTGCCCTGTTCCCAATTTGTTTCTCAGTGCTTAGCAATATGGTGCTGGTGGGAAACAGTTTTGAAGAAGGACTACTAAAAGGCTGAAAAGTTCTGGAAAAAATGAGTTAACTTGTTTTAGTAAAATAACTGATTTTAGTAAAAACTTTCCTGGAGTTTCTAAAAGAAGGACAGATTAGGAGACACCCACCACCTACATATCTAATAAGCATGCTATGAAACATGTAAAAAATTCTCCTATTGCCATTTTTAAAACTTGAAAAAGGTCAGTACATGTATTAGATAACTTCTGCTTTTTTACCTTTCCCATAATGATAAAGTCCAGTCTCTTCTGTATGGTCTAGAAACTCGCTTTTTTAATAAAGTGAAAAGACTATGAATCTGCTTAACATATTTATTTCTTTTCATCTATTCAGTGCCACAGGGTGGTAGCATGTAGTACAACACATGTTGATATTTTTGCAAAGCACCACATGACTCACTGTACTCTAATACACTCTATTAATCCTGTTTGGACAGCTGTGACTGTGCATTTGTCAGCTGTGTGTTAATTGTTCCATCTTTTTTCTTCTTTTATTTATCTCTATGGCAAACTATTCAGGAATTTCATTTGTTAGTCTTTTTTTTTTTTTTAAGTGAGTTTTACCATTAATCTGTTTCCTATGAGACAACAATGCACCCAGCATGTATACTTACTTCCACAGAATCCGTTTATTATCAACTGTTAATCTCATAGATCATTAACAATGATTTTTTTTTTTAAACAAATGATGAATGCAGTAACTTAGTGGACACAATACTAATATTAGTATTCTATTCTAAATCACTAATTTTTCAACATCTTGCTCTAAATGCTAGAACTGTTTTACTTCTTAGATCTTTATTGTACTGGCTATATTTTAAAACCGCACTACTTTAAATACTTGAATTATTCTTTTGCATTTTTGTGAAGTTTTACTACAGATTTTTAAAACATGAGCTCTAGAATGTGTATTTTAAGATCCAACCCTCCAAAATGCATTACAGGTTTTTTTTGTTTGTTACAGAAATGATCTGGTAAATCTAATAGAACTCATCATCTGTAGATATACACAGCATGAAAATATACAGTATAGTTTACCAGAAAATATTAACTACTCTTGACTTGACAGTATTCTGGTTGAAAAGAAAATCAGCTACAGAACTATTATGTACACATTACTGGTCTGAGGGCCTGCGCTCAAACTCCTAAGCTTGTACTTAAGACTCGTACAGCCCGAGGTGAAGATTTTTGTTTTGTTCTGTTTAATGTTCCCAATGAAATTCACATTAGCTGCAAGTATTCTGCATTACTTAAACATGTAATAGCCTTGCAATCTAACTTCAAGAATTCAAGCTGATGATTACCTAATTAAATTAAGTGAAGATACAAAACATCTTGTCTTTCGAACTGGTTAAAATAGTTTTTCCACTTCAAGTACTACTGCCAGTTCTTAACAATAAAATCAGAACTTCTTCAGTGCTACTATGCTGGATTCCAAATTTTTATATTTGAAAACTGAAGTAACAAAGAATGCAAGCAGATTATTTCAGGGAAAATGAAAGTAGCCTTGTATCATTGCTGATAAAAAACTTAACAAGTGAAGAGTCATTAACTGTTTTTAAAAAGACATTTGCACTCAACGTTATCTCAAATTTTATACCTGAAATCCCCAAATGTATTTTTTTCACAAAAACTGAGCACTGTAATTTCACAGTGAACATGAAACTATTTTTTACTGTCCTGAACAACAACCTCCGTATCTATTCTTCTCACCATCTCCTGTTTTAAGTTTAAAATCTGACCTGCCTTCTAAAAAAAACATATTCTCTAGAAAATGCTTTGCATCTTTTTTTTTTTTTTTACAATGTATGTTCTGCAGTTCTGTATGTAGAATGTATGTTCAAGAGCTCATGTTGTGTAGAAAAGAAGGCCACACATACATGCTCCTTCTATTGAAAGTGATGGCAAATTAAATACATACTATGAAAGGTACAACTACAGGTTGTTCTTTTTTCCTTGTTTGTTTTTGGTTTTTTTTTTTTAAACTCAATTAAACATCCTTTATTACAATGTTTTATACTTCCATTTCACTTACCCAGTGTCCTTGACATCACTGGCAAAGCAGAGCTCAGCACCAAGATTGAGACACAGTTTCCAATGATCTGTTTGAAAATGACAAAACAACAAACAGCATTTAAATTATAAATGGGATTGCTGAAGAGAGAAAAAAAAAAGAAAAAGACAAAACAGTGGTCGAGATGAAAAAGAAGAATTCCTAAAAGTTACATTCTTCAAACTGAACCTAAAGCAATTTACAATAATATATTGTTAGTCTTGCTTACTTCTGTCACACTTCTCCTTATGGTGTTACACAAGATGAAGATGATCCAAGAGACAAGGTAAAAAACCAAATCAAATATGTAATCATTTGCCTTTAATCAAAAGTGTTACGTATGCTTAGATTCAAAATAATTCAAAACGACTGTGTTGCAAAGCACCAACTGTTTACTTAATTCCTGCAAAGTTTTTATAAAAGAACCACTCCACGGGCTTAGAATAGATGACTGATACATCAGCTTAAGCTTTGTATGTAACTGCTTGCAGGATTAGCATTATTTAAAAAATTACAACAAAGAGCTTCCTTTCAATTGAATGCCTGTTGACTACTTTAAATAGTACGAAAAAATTCACAGCTGTTAGATTTTACTAGATTTTTTTTTTTTTTTTAGTTTTTGTGAAGCCTTTATAAAGAGTAATTGAAACTTTCTCTCACAAGGGATCACTTTCTTCAACTCTAATTCTATTAGAAACTAAAAGAAAAAAAAAACAGAAAACTTCTTGAAAATAGGTAGACATTTGTGCATTCACTATTTCTACACTACTCCTGGTGTACTGTAAACAATCAATAGAAAGCATTAAGAACATTCCAACTCCCTACTACCTATCTACTATAACCATTCTGTGTGTTACCTACTTTCTCACTTCCAACAATTTATGGTAAAAATGTCTTTATCCATTACTTTAAAAAAAAAAACCAAACAATGAAACACATTGAAAAAATAATTAAATTCAACATCTGTTCCTTGGTTACTGATCACCTCCCCTTGTCAGCTGTGGGAATATTTTGCCAAAAACCTAAGCATGTTCTTCCGCATTAGGTAACAGTATTTCTTATTCTGAAGCCAGTGCTAAATTGTAGAAAGTCAAATTAGCCTCAGACTGCAAAATGTTGCTGAATAGATCTCCTCAGTCTTAGTTTAATTATTCAAATTTGAATTACTTTGTCTGTATTACTTCTAGCAACCAAGTTCTTCAGATTTCAAACAAGCTCCCTGAAGTACAGTTAGCACAATCAAAGTTACTCATTAGCAATACGTTTCCTTTGAAAAAAGTTCTTTCACTAGCTTTTCTATAGCTAGTTAACAAGCTCTGCTATTCCCGGCTTTTTACAAGTGAATGGATGCCATCCAAACTAAACAGAGCACATCCTTTTTCCCACTCATTCAGCATTTTGAAAATCTTCCAGTTTGTGTTTACGCAGCTTACAAACAAATACTGATCACTGCAAATGAGCCATTCAGGGCAATTACTAACTAAAAGAGTCAGTTTGTCTTGGGTGGCAAGAAAGAGAGGAGGGGGCCATCACCATCACAGACTTTACCTTACCTTTGTCATAGTTGTGTCATCCTTCCTGGGAGTGAAATTTTCAAAAAAACGAAGACTGTAGAAGCCGACGACAGAGGATACCATAAGATAGCTGTGAGAATCAAGGAAAAAGGAACCTCCAAGGAATGCAAGTTTCACTCAAGTTCTCAGCAGTCTCCTAAAAGTCTTAAGAACCAAAGAAAAATAACAAAAACACTTCGAGTGCTTGAGAAGGACTGACCTATCTCTTTCTTCTTTCCAGGCAAGTGTCTTAGTAAATTACCAGTGTCCCAGAAAACTAGACAGAATACTTGTTAACAGACAGAATTCTTAAAGAAAGGATACAAAATCAAAATGATTTCAAGTGCTGCTCCAACAAAACCAAAGGTGGATAGGGAGGCATTTCCTATTCCAGGCCCCTACAAGGGGGGAAAAAAAAAAAAAAAAAACAACTTTGAATAATTTAATAAAATACACGCAACTGTTCATAAAGTTAACTTCTACCAGGACCAAAAAAACTAACATCTTACACGAAATACAGCCTTTTCTCAAGTCAGTATTAAAGGGGCATTCTGATGTTCTAGCCTGCAAGTCTCCTATCCTATGCAATTGCATCACCTAGCTTTCAAACCTGAGTGAAATGTATTACTAAGATGGAAGGTATAATGATTCACATTTTATGCATGCTGCATCTACCCACCATGCTGCATTTTATACATATTTCATTACTCTGGAAACTAAAATAAGAGGTCTCAAAAGAAGACACTTCTAGTTGTTCGCAGTACCATAGGCAAAGTGGCCATCACCACTAAACACCTTTTATAGCTCTGCAAGCTCATATACAGCTATACACAGGGGAAAGTATTACCAAGTTAATAAAAACCCCTCATGATTAAAGACGCTACTACTCAATGTGCTGTTCTTTACTTTCTTGAAGTATTTTTATAATAAAGGAGGAAAAAATGTCCTGTTTTCTAAGAGGTACACAAACCAAGACAGGCTTTTCATACTGGTTTTTAACATAGTTTCTTAAATTGAACATGTATTCCATATAAAAGTAGGAGACATGAGTAAAATGCAAACTCCAGATTACTGATCTACTTTACTGAATCACTGTATTTCATAAAGATTCTAGACTAGTTTTATTAAGAACTCACTAGAACATGACATGTAATAAATGTTTATGTGTGCACATGACCGAAACAAAGTCAAGGTTGAGGCTCATTAGTTTCAGTGTTATTAAAGCAGAAGTTCTCACGTGCATTTTTGTAAAGGCTCCAAAGCTTTACTAAAGTTACAAAAATCATAAGGGAAGTTTACTTTACCCCTGATCCCTTTGGCATTGCAGTCTCATCAACCAACAGGTACAGAATGTTGAGAGCAACTAAGAGGACTGAGATGGACTATAAAGAAGTAGAAACATTCTTGTTATTTAAAAGTATTCCACATTTTTAAAATGTATATATTTATCCTCACCAGATTTCATAATGTTAAGGTCTCTTAAAATGGTCAAGAAAAGAGTATCAAGTTTGTTGCTTAAACACACATCACTCAAAAATTTTAAAACTATTCCCCCAAATGACCAAAGAATTCTTCATACTTTCTCTGTTGGGGAAAAAGAAAAAAAAAAGAGTGCAAAAATTCTTACCGTCTCAATCAGTAGCAATATCATAACAGCTGGATAGACTAAATTCCTTTCCCAAGCAGAAGCTTTTTTCCGCCGTTCTGTTCAGAAGAGAAAAACAGAAGCTTAATACCATAGATCATCTTAGAATAAAACAAGTGAAAATAATTTAGCTATCTATAAGCTCGTTATAACTATAGGTAACAAAAGTAATCTTATATTGAACCGACACCAACCAATTCATAAAAATATCCACCCTGAAGAGCTGTACAAAGCAATGCCAAAACTATGAAGCCTCTTTAGAGAAAGGCTGGTGAGACAGAGAAGCAGATCTTTCTTTCTTGTTTACAGGCATGTTTCACCATAACATTTTTTTCCCCAGCAAACAGCAGTTCTGCAAAGTTTAAAATATAATGTATTTAAAAATATGCTGTTTACATGTATATTTTAGTACAACCTAAAGGGAATTTCAAATATTTAAACAGTATCTTCCTCTCATAACATAAGGCAAGAAAGACAGCACTAACCCACCGGACATCACTAATATGCCTAAAAAGAAAACCCAACAACTTTTTCTTACCACAATCTTAGTTTTGCAAATAACACATGATAAATGCAAAATCCTGCAAGCCTTTGAGTGGCTGCCATCACCAGAAGTATCAGTTTTAAAAGACACAAACCTGCTAAGAATTATTTTACTGTTCTTAAACACAAATTGACTTTCATAGAAATAATTCAAAAACAGACAGGAAAGTAATGTCTTAGATTACCCCAAATAATCATAAGCATATCATTATATATGAAAAGACCGTGCTATTGAGCTCCATGCAAGGAAGTCAAGAGTGTTACTTTTTCTCTAAAATTATGTTAAAAATAAGATCCAAATCAGACTCCCTACTTAAATTTGTTTGTTAGAGGGGCGCAATGATTCCATGTAATGTATTTGCAGAAACTATGACAATTTGAAAGGACTGCAAATGCACAAATTTGGTTAAGAACAAACTGGAATCAATCAAGTGACTGCTACAAGCTAAACAGCATTTCAAGGTCATTTATTAAACTGCAATCCACATGAAACAGTAGAAAAAAGTTTATTACCTAGATTTGTTTTCTTGCTTTTCACTTTTTCAAGCTCCCGTTCCAACTCTACTGTCTGGTATTCCACCGTGGAAGATATACCTTTTAAAAGAGAAGATAGTATTTTCTTTTGGATGAGACTAACTATAGTACTGTAAGACACTGTGACAATTCAGATTTAGGAAGCATCACATTAACACTTGTGGCTTTCAACTGCAGGTGTTTCTTTGAGACTCTTCAACTACTTCTCAAAAAACAGAGGCTTAGTCAAGAACCCTCTAATTCTGTCTAACCTGAGGAGTTCAACACATCAGAGGTTTCACAGTGTGACCTTCTCTGATCCCTGACTAGTCTGTTGACCAGCTGCTGCAAGAATGAAAAGAACAGCTACTGCTGAACTGTTGCACAGGTCCAAAAACCAGTTATAGTGTGGCAGCCTGACACAGGATGTCTCAAATGCCTCATTCTTGTATCTCTATATGATTCATATATCAAGATGTAAAGAATCTCTGGATGTCCTTCAAGGGCATTATTATTATTTAGCAACTTAAAGATAAAGTGGACCTTTGTCTCCAAACGAAGTAAGCTGGTGGCTGGACCTCCAGTTTCAGCTTCTGCCCCTCCCTCCCTTTCCCCAGTCCTTTTTACTCAGCAAATTCAGTTTCCATACTGCTGACCTGCTTGTTGACATGTCTTTTGCTCATATCAGTTTGCCTGATTTGGTCAGTCTCTCTGTGCCACAGAGCTCCCTCTGACAACCACAGTCAGATCCTCCTCACAACCACCCATGAGACCATATTCTTTCACTTTGCTTTTTACAGTTTACAGCATATGTATGTTACTGTTGTGCAACTCCTCAAACCCTCTCCTCTACACCAGCTGAAAACTGACAACCGCAACATTAATTCCTCTCTCCCTTGCTAATTTTCTGCCCAAAAGTTACTCAGCAACCCTTCCTCCTATCCCTACACAGGGATTTTCCCCTCTCCATCCTTTTTCTCTTCAACCTCCCATTCTCTTCCAACCACCCATCTTTTCCAGTGCAAGCACACTGTGGTTTCTCTCCTTGATTCCAATTCCTCTACAAACATTGCAGTGTTCAAGCAATGATACAGCTCTGAAATGCTGACCAGAGATCTGCTATTTCAGTTCTAATCTCATTATTTCTACTTTAGCTTTTACTCTTTGCAATCACAAACTGGAAATATTCTTCCTGGGATAAGTTAGAAACACTCTCCACTCACCTTTGCCCCACTTTCACCCCTTTTATTTCTGAATAATCTCACCTGAAAATAAGTTAAGAAGGCTCATATTTTCCCTGTCTATTCCAAGCCAATCTCACTGTGTGAAAACACTCTGTGGCAGTGACAGTTCAAGGTCAAATAAACCCTAAGTCCTCTCTGTTATCTTCTTTCTCGATTTACATTGCCACCCTTCACCTGTTGGCCATTCCCCACCCTCGGCCTCACCTTTGATTGCAGGCTAACCTGTAATAGCACCATGCTCCAGATACATTTTTTTTTTTTTTTTTAAAACACTCTCTAATAAATTTCTATGAGATTAATAGTCTTGTCCAGGCTTTTATCTCGTATCTTGATAATTTGCCTACAAAAACTAAACAGCACTTAGGTTGCTGGCACATTAACACTACTTTATAGTCCAGTCTCATTATTTCCTTATTTTCTGTTGTCTGCTCATCCATGCAGCAATCTCAGTACAAGATAAGAAGGTAAATTTCTCATCCCATCCAGCCCCCACATTCTCCATATTCCAGCACACTGAAGTCCTACCTGGAAACCAAGAAATACAAGAGTATTTCTTGGACTTTTTTTTAAACTTTTACTCTTTTTATTTCAGAGTATTAATACTGATTTGTTCAGTGCAGTCAAATTATCAGTGAGGCATCCAACTGTTTCAAAACTTAATTTTTAAATGTTTAATTACCTGCTTCTTTCACACACATTTTTGCATATAACACATAACCTCTGTGCTATGCCTAAACATTTATCTTTGATGTCAGTGATATAATGTATATGTGGTAATATTTACAGTGGCTTCAAATAAGTAAGTATCTCAAATCCCAGGACTAACCAGCAAGACCTACAAATGCTGTTTTGTAACAACTTCTATTCACTTGAAGTACCTGCAATATGAATGTCAGTTTAATTTCTCAGGTTTTTTTTAAACAAGAAATCATATGGGGTTTTTTAGAAAAAGGGTTTTTTTTAAAAAAAAAAAAAACACTCATTATAAAAATAAGCTTTTGTGCTGATGCATTCCCTCTGAAAAAAGTCTGAAACATCTGTTTTATAGAATGACTAATAACTATGAGTTGAAGAAAGGATAGCTATAGAGGACAGTGGAAAAAGTCTCAAGAACTTCTTAATGGAAGAAGTTGAAAAAGTAAGAAAACTCAAGTTAGCATCTGACATTTTCTTCTTCTCCATAATTGATTCAGGGGTCTCTGAGGAAAAGCTTTATTCAAGATATATGTTGTTTCCTCCCCTTAATATAAAAATCCAGAGCTCAAACCACTGATATTCATGGGATTCTCTCCAAAGTCAGGATGACCACATTAGGTCCCTAAGAGACACTTCAGTAGAAATCCTGAATCATATTTAAGTGCTGTTGTAGTTCCTCCTTAAAAGTAGTAGCAAACAACAGGTTGCTATACAAAAGGATATTTTACGAGAGGGGAAGGCAAAGTTTCAGATCAGTCAAAAGACTATTTGAAAAGGATGCAGCTAAATTCATAAAAGCTCTATAACATTAGCTTTATTTCAAACATGCACAAAGTTCAATGTCAGCGCTGTCTAGCCAATAAATCAAATTGGTAGACGAGACTTGTTTGGACTAGCAATGAAAAGTTAGAAGGGATTCTCCAAGAAAGCCACAAAGCAGCTCATTTAAGGTCAATTTAACGGTATTATTCTATTTTTCTTCCAGCCCCGACATAAGATTTCAGTACCTCAAAGGAAATTGTAAGAGTATCTATTTGCATTCCCCCTAGGTGATTGGCAGTTCAACACCAATTAGTTCAAAATTACACTGTTACTAGCGTGCAATAAAAACAACACCTTTCATCTTTCTTACCTATGTAAGGATACCTTCAGAGCCAATAACTTTGATCAAGTAAGTATTTTTGATCCTACCCCACCCGTCTCTTTGGATTCAGGAAAACTAATAGCTGAAGGCAACTTTTTTCTTTTAATATAAAAAAGTCCCAGCTTTATTCTTCGACTGTAGGAGTGATGTGGGTACTGAAATGTAATACACTGGAAACAAACATTTTCCCAAAGCCCAGTATCTCTTCAATAGATAAAAATACTAGGGTAGATAACACAATCAAACTTTCCCCTCCCTCCTCCGATTTTCAGTTATACACTGGAGACATCTGAGAAGGAAGAAAATCAGTTCCGCAAAGAAGATATGCAGTTTCACAGTTAGATTTTTTTTTTTCCAAATATGAAGAGCTTTAGAGAATACTCTATCAATTGCATCACCACCACCATAGTTACATCTATATGAAACAAGAAGGGCACCAGCTCACACAGCTAAGCTTTTTTCCTCCTCTGAAAACAGAGATTTTACCCAGCCTATTCAGTGGGAACAGTGATTCGTTATCCCCTTCCCATGCCCAGGCATTGTCTGAAGAAATATTAATTAGGACAGGGCAGAGCAGTGCTAGGAGTGTGATAGCAACTATTCCACCAAGAAAAAAGAAAAATCAGCACTGACAATCACCAAGTATTGCTTAAGCCTGTGCTCTGGTCTTCTTCAGTTTTAATTAAAGTTCAACTCTCATTTATATGGTTATACATATAAATGGAGTATATATTTCAGAATATATATACTGCAATATATACTGCAAAACTGTCCAGCAAGGTTACTTAAGCACATATATTTCCATTACCACAACTATGGAAGAGTTGCAATAGCCATGGCACGGGAAGTGTGTAGCATAATGTATCTGCTCCAATACAGCAACAAAAATACTTACACAATCTGTGTGTTAAGTCACAGATTATGGCCTCTAACATCACAGCACTACATTTATTGATGTAATTAGCACCACACCTCCATTTGTACACATTTTTAAAAAATGCAATAAATGTGATAAGCATGAGTCTTCATAGTTCTGGCAAAAATGGTGTCTATTTTTCTGGCATAAGTTGTATGTATTAGAAAGACTTCTGGGAGAGATGAAGCTTTCCATGCTTGCCACATAAATGAGAACCATTCTTAAAATTACTTAAATAATTACTCACAAAAATCTTGCAGAGTATCTTCTTGTGCATACAACATATTGCCTTCCACCTACATGCTCTATCCAAGTTTAGATTTTTATTTACTTTTCAGCTTAAGTCCATTAATTTTCTCTGCACACCAAACTATGAGTTGTCAAGCATTCCTTCGGATGGTGGTGTCAATACCATTCCCTCAGCATGTGAAACACAAGAATTCAGTTCCCTCTCCTGTCAAAGAACATTTAAGTCCCACATCTTTCACCTCTCACGAGTAGGCTGGTGAGAGCTCTGTGGAACATGGGCAGGTTGCAGTTCCACTTTACCCTGAATATCTTGAATACTACGATTCGCTGAAAGAGAATCCAGTCTTTCGGCTAGTGGTTAGGGGAGCCACCGGCACATGTTCTAAATCCAGATCCAATTAATAGATGCCTACAAACACACCAGGTACACCTCATGAATGATATTACTAAACTGCAACATAAACAACTGTTGCACAGACTTCTATGCAGAAAAACAGCAGACAGACATCACCTAAATAATCACATTCTCCACCTGAATAGTGGAAACCACTCTGCACTAGTTCTAATAGATACCTGAATAACTATTGGGTCATTTTTCTGTATCGTTTGTCTTGTACATAAGCACAATCACCATGACAACATAAAATACTCAGTAACAAATATTTTACAGTTGCTAGCTAACATCAAACACACAGAAAAATTATAATTACCCCATCACAGCTTCAAAGACATTCACTGCGTGCACCTTTTTGCGTGTCTGTATGTGTATGCGTATATATACGTGTATCAGTATAAAAACCTAAGCTTCCAAAACAGCAAAGGTGAACATTACTTTTAAACTGAAACCATGGCTGATTTTAGCATACAGAAGTCACTACTCCTCCACAAACTTTAAACACTGGAATAAAGGCGACCACCATGATCTACTGTTATCAAAGGTACTTTCCCTGACCAAGCAACTTCGAAAGGAGACTTACTGAGACTTGAAAGAAGAAAAGACTGAGATATATGACAGAAGACTGCAAAGTAAGAGAGAAAGGCAGGAAATGAAGAAAAATAAGGCTAAAATAAGTCATAAGACAACACAACAATGGATGTGTCATGACATGAATATTCTTTGGTCTTCCAACCTGAAGCAACTGTATAAATTGTGGATGGATAGCTCATCCATGCGGTTAAAAGCAATTCAGAAGAGAATTTGTACAACATCATTTCCAGGCTTATAGAATTGACATATTTTCCATAATTGGTGCCTGCCACGCTGCAATACTCTTTCTCTTAGAAGCCAAAGCTTCATACTGCTTTTGAAATACCTCAAAACAGAAACACCTTATCAAGAAGTGCAAAATTGTCATACTAAATACAAGAGGTCTAAAACATTTGTATAATTATTCATTGTAATTATTCATTAATAGAATTATTAAATTTATTAAATTCACCAAATAGCTCCTAGAATATAAAGGACTGCTCTGATGTTTAATGAATTATTACCTAAGATTCTAAATAATAATGAACTGAAACAGAAAAAATCCTCCAAATAAAAACCAAAACTCACCATGCAGGAAGTTGAGCCTCTTGCTAATATAAGTTCATTGTTCTTCAGACAAGGCTAAAATACAGTCATTTACCAATCCAAACTATTTTGCAGTAAGGGTGGTGGGTCTGGTCAACTACTCAATTTGCTTTCCTAGTCTCAGAATATTCACATATTAGAGCTGATGAACATGTTAAAAACCATCACAAAGCAAACCACACACACACAAGAGCCAATCTTGAACAACACAGTGAGCAATGAAATGTAAGCCTATAATGCTTGTTACATACTAAGATGTTGAAATCTTCTATTTTGAGAGAAGAGGCTATGTAACAGTGAGATCAATACTCGTGATCAGAACCACTCTACTCTAAATACTATATTTGAAGCAGTATCAGAACAAGCATACCATTAAGCCTCCTCTGAATTGCTTCTTCCTCTAAAGTGATGATATACATCTGCTCATCTAGGTCTTCAAGGATCTGTATTTGGAAACAGAAACATGAACTGAGTATCAGAGTCACTTGTTTTTCTGACTGCACTAATCTAGTCTAGGTTTGTTTTGTTCTAGTAACCTATATTTTAAATATATAGTCTACAACTTTACAATACTGATACAAATAAGAACTCCATGAAAGATTATTCCATTCTGTTACAGATCTATTTCTTTACTGTAAGCAAACTTTCTGTTAAGTTTTCATTTCAGGTTAAAGCTCTTATGTTCAGTTTCAATCTAAAGAGACTTAGGCAACAGGGGAGGGGACAGTACATCTGACCTATATCCAAATCATTTATAGGGAAAAAATTAACAACCTATCAAGCTTCACACTCAATTTGATTTAAACAAAAATAACTGCAAATTTTGAAAACGTACATTAAGTGTCTTTTCACATAAGCCAGTATTTCAAGCAAATATAAATTGCTATTGGAAGCTAAAACCAAATAAATGAAGTCTGTCTACCTTACTATCAGTTTTAAGCTTACAGATAGCAAAACACTATATATTTTCTTTGTATTTTCAGGGTTGAACTGACTAATGAAAAGGAATGCAAGACCTAAGTGCACCCAAATTTTAGTAAATACAAACTAGGAAACATGAGCAAAGTCACTAGAGCACTTGCACATGGTACAAACTTCTCCGTTCCCTCACAGCATTCAGTACAAGAACAGTAGAGTATCTATGTGTAACAAGTTCTTACAGATGTCAACTACCTACATTTCACCCATCTAAGTATACTCTCAGGTACCCTTCTTGTCATCCAGCCTTAGTTTGGTCTTGTATCCTTTGCTCCTGAACTCAGAACAAGCCCACGCTTTCCAGGCATTTGCAAAACAGACATAATAGGCAATAAATATTAATACTAGTAGCAGTTATATAAATTTGAAAATCAGAGGAAGTCTACACTATTAAAAAAAACTTTTTCTGTGGGGAAAAAAAAGGCTTTTGTGCTATATGAAAAATTTTAAACAAGTACATAAATACTGACTATAGAAACTCTGATGAACTGAAGAGAGGATTATGTAGAAGTGCAAGCATTCTGAAAGAAAGTACCCTAATGCCATTCTACCTTCTAACAGATACCACACAAGGACAGATATGTGTAACACTTACTGTTGGCTTCACCAGCAACTGACCCATTACTGTAAACATCCGTGAAAGTCCCACTGGCGTGCATACTGCAGAGGAAGAAAGATTATGCAAAACAGTGATTTGTAAGTCAAAGACCGATTTTTATTTGGATGTTCAATGTGCTATTCCACATATAACCAAATATGGTTTTGAAGAGAACTGCAAGAGCTTCAAACTCCAATACCAACTTTAAAACACACTGCTGTCATATGAATTCTGAACAAGACAAGCATCTCTCCCCTCCAAGAGCATAACCGTGAATTTTTTGTCAACAAGGAACACCATATAATCAGATATCTTAAACTTGCTCAAGTAATTATTTATTCAAAGCATGTGGCACCAGAGGCTATGTCTACACTAGTAAATTCAGTAGTGCCAGGATACATTCCTGGGCATTAAGACTTGATTGTCTACACCAGTAAACTGTTAAAACTATCCCTGGCATGATTTGCCCTGGGCCAGTTAGCACTTTCCCAAACAACTCCCAGGTGCAGTTCTGGAGTTCATGCAGTCCAGGAACCATTATCATGAGACAGTATGTACACAACCACTTTCTGCAAACTGCAGTATCATGGATGGAATGACACTAGTTGGCCACAGCACTGGAGAACATCTCAGGCACATTTAATCTATTAGCACAGGTGTAGCTGTAAGATCAAGAAATCATGCATGAAGCTGCTTTGCCCTGAAAGTTATACTGCAACTTCAGTTGATAGTAGGCCCAGCTACCAGATTTTACGCTACTTTTCTATGAAATAGCAATTGGCCATTTTTTATCGTAGCCTGTGATGATTTCCAGGTATGGTGCATATATGTTTGTTGGGAGAAAGGCTCAAACCGTGATAATAAAAAATTACTAATAAAAATCAACAGTTTAGGGAGAACAGCCTTCAAATACTGAAGTGTGTAGGAGATGGAAGGAATTTGTAACAGTATGGATGAGGATATACATTTATAGTTTCCATTACAATAAAACAGTGTTGTCAAAAAAAGAAGCAGCACACAAGATTTTGTAGTGAGGATTACATTTATTTTTATTAACTAGTGTTTCACTATGACTACTATGTATTACAAGAAAAATACAAGAGTATTCAAAAAGGCTAACTTAAGCTAGTCTTCCTTTACTACAGAGGAGAAAAGAGAAAGGAAGCGATGCTCGAAATCACCGCTGCAATAAGCCTTACTCATACACTGCTTCAGCAATTAAACCAGATCTAATGAAGCTCTACCCCAGCATCTACCACTTTCTCACTGCTGTATGCTGCCTGTTCAGCTATACAGATATAACAGCTTGGAGGGCCTTAAATAATTTCAGTGATTTGCTTGTATAAATTACAAATAACTCTTCCAAAAATTGGCATTTAGTCCCAATTATTTTGGTGAACTGGTTTACAATAGCCCCAGAACACACTCTGTGTTCTCAGCTCTGCCGAAACAAACTGCAATCAGATGTAGGAAGTTTGTAAGCCAACTTCCCCATTAAAACATTCAGCAACTGTCCGACAGCCTACGTGAGACATTCAGAAACACTTTTTTTTTTCCCCACTTCCCCCCCTCCCTCCGTTAAAGTGGATTTAAGAATCTCCACGTACAGAGAATCTAAGGAGACTCACCAAGGCCTCTGTGAGCAACACCTTTCAGAGACAGATCCGCTTAGTTTTAAGGAAGTTTCAAACTATCATACCCCACCCTTTCTCCACAGTGACAGCCTTGTAAGTGTTAGCTGTAAACCTATAAAGCCTGGAGAACAGGTGAAACCATGATAATCTAGAAAGTGAGATGTTCTGTCCCCCTCTCAGGAATTTTCTAGAAATCATTTGGGGAGGGCGGGAAGGGGATGGGGCTGAAATTATAAGTGGGATTTGGAGCCTTCCATCATCTTATTCCCCTAAACACAGATGACAACTCTGGCTGGGACCAGTTGGTATAAGGCTGGTTTTTTTACTGCATTTGTTTTACATGCAATCATATAACTGACCTCCAGACTGGCCAGATACCAGTTTTGTGATTATGAAAGCTAACTGCACTGTATTCCAACTTCTGTCTATACAGGAAGATTTTCAATTAAAAAAACCGAAAAAGGATCATTTACTGAATATAGGACAAACCAAGTGTTCCAAAATAACTTTCTCTCCATACTACTGACCTCCTGCAGACATTTCATTTAAAAATTGTGCTTTTCTCTGCCGAGTGGAGTCCCTACTTTTCAAATACCTGCTTTAAAAAGTTAAACATTGAAATTATTTTGGGTGAGGTGTGAAATTCCTCAAAACCTGAAAGTGTAAGGTAGCATTTGTTCACAACCTTCAGAACCCAAGTCTAACAAATTTACTCCTAAATTTAAACTTAAGAATGAAAAAAAACAACCCAAAAAACATTTTTCACACTCTTAACTTTCACAATATTAATTTTCACAATAAACAACAGTTTCCTTTAATCTTTAAAAACAAAAATCATTCGTCTTTTGGAATAATCAGGACAATACTTACACAGAAGTAACAAGCATCCCATCAGTGATATACAGGAATATAAATACGGGAGGTAGAATTCCCAGAGGTCTGTAAAGCAAATATTGAGCACAGCCTTAGCTTATTACAAATAGGCTACTTATGTCACAAATAAAAATGAATTAAATTCTTTTCTTAAGCGTTCAGGATTGAACAATTGTTATTTTCAAGTATAAACTAAGAATTAGTCAGTTAATAATCCTGCAGGCAACTAAATCCCAAGTACTTTAGGTTGAAAAATATCTTCAGCTTTTATCACTTCAGTCACTTGTTTTTAACATACCTCATGTCCACATGAGCATGGAACTTCTCAGCATGCTAAAAACGGATTTAACAGAAAAAATGGTATTGCCTAAATTAATACAGCTTCTTCACAACCTCAATACTCACATAGCATTTACTAGAAATACATTTAATTGAAAACATCCATTTCCTGAATTAAAATTAAAACTAGTGTGGTGTTTTTTAAATTCCATACCATACAAAGACTCCATACTGGCAGCATCATTGTCTATGAGTGCTGAAGCCACCCATACAATTCCAAGGATGAGCAGTGCAAGAAGAATAAGCATTACAAGGGTTTCCAAAATGCGTGCTCTGATGCCCTGTGGGCAGAAGAGGGGAGAGGGAGGAAAGAACACAGCCAAGAACTTTGAATCAGATATTTTCAAACATAAGAAAAATAAAAATAAATAGCAGTTCCTTCTTCCTAAATATATACTCACATTTTATCATGTAGACAAAAGCATAACATGTAATGCACATTTAAAAGGCAGTGCATAAAAAAAGGAAGTACTTATGGCTTTATAGTGCCCAGATTGCGTTTTTCCCCTTAAAACCACAGAAAAATGTTTTAAATTGCATATGCCTCACAGTTCTCATTAATCTCATTATTCCATAAAGTATTCTTTATACCATATGATTTTGCTCGAGCATTTTTAAAAGATGGATTACTTTTCTAATACTTTCAGCAAAGAAAGTGGATTAGCAAATTTTTATCTATGATTCTAATCAAGGGAATGGAAAGCCAATTATGGCAAATAGCCAAATGGCCCAGCAAGCATTAAACTCTGCGCAGGTACAATGCACCAATTTAGTTAAAATACATTCTTCAACTGCAATTGCTTCTGCACCATTCCTCACAGTCTTCAGAGCCCTCAAGCGTACGGTTGGAGTACTGCTCGCTCTTAGCCTGCCCAGACACTGCAGCTGCTGCAGCCACATCCATCACCTCCCATCCTTACATGCTCCGTGCTGAATGAAACACGTACGTCTTGCTTACAACACACACAAATCACAGGTCTACAAGATTATATCATAGCATTTGCTCTTGAGTCTGAACGCTAATTTTACTAATTTCAAGCAATAGAGCCATTGGGACATTTTCTTCAGACATCCTTGCCATTAAGGGACCATCAGATTGCTGTTCACGTAACAATTTTATTTTTATTTTTCTTCACTTGCCAGTATACACCTCCACAAGCAAACCCAATCTCTTGTTTCTCACACAGGTTCACCCCAACTTGGGCATATTCCACTGGAAAGTCTACTTTACAGGTAAAAGCAGAAAGTTTGTTTTACTTTATTGTTTCTCTACTTTTATCACCTCTTCCCTCACTGCTTAACACAAGAGGGTAATCTTTACATAACTCTGAAAATTATGCTCCCTATATAATCACTGCATCCAACCATGAATGAGGACTTCCAGCATCCTAACCATGAGCACTGATCTCTTCTAGCACACCAATTCCTCTCTGCCATCAGTCCTCTGCAGAACAGATAGCATGAAGGGAAAAACAGACAAAAAGAGACCTTCACAAAATTCCCCTTAAGGCTTAAGCAGGCAGATTAAGTCCAACTCTGTAAAGGATCTCAAACACCAAATTTCAAATTAAAGGTAGTATGGATAGGATATGGATTTACTCCTAGAATGTATTTTGTGTACAATAAAAGCGGCTTTGAGGTTGTTAGAAGTTACTAAAAAGTTATTTTTGTAGTGCTCAGAAACCAGCTTTCAGTCTTCAATGAGTTATTTTGAAGGTGAGCATCTAAGCCAAATATATGTATTTGAAGATTAAATAGCCACATGTTTAAAGTTTTGAACTTGACCAATAAGTTACCCAGGAACAAACAGATTACAGTTAAAGTACTGAGCATTGATATAGAGCCTTCACTTCACAACAGAAGAAAGTCACAGGATTAGATGAAAACCCAAAACATTCAAGGATGCATGCACAGAGACCTGCTTTAAGCTTTCCAAAAACCTTGAAGACTCCTTTCCTCTCCCAGACAGAGGAAAATATTATAAAGTTACCTTCTGGGTTTCTGAAAGCCTTAGCCACAGAAAGTGGCTTCCTTACCTTTCCTACTATGGGACACATGCACAAATTTCAGCCTCTCTGACTTCAAGTTTCACAGCAACAGATTCTTCTGGACAAACATGGAAAATACTTCATTTTACATGGGGACCTGAACACCAAATCCTCCTCCCTTGGATGGAGTAGCACAATTGTCAAAACAGATAAACAAGAAATACACTGTGATGGAGACAGTCAACTGTAAATAATGTTTTTTCATGTTTGCTGCAAGTGTTCTCTGAAGACAGGTGAGATTAGGACAATACAAATAACACACTCTCTCAAAAAAAAGAGAGATGACCACAGCAAGTCCTCAGAGGTAACCATTGCTTTTGGCCAAAAGTACCATTGGCACAAACTCTAAAAAAGCCAGTTAGTTGCCTAATGAGCCTTCCCCATTTTTTGGTTTCCATGCTAATTTGAATAATCTTTGATTCTCAGAAAATTGTATCAATCTCCTGTTCTCACTAGGTACACCTATCTCTGCACCTATGTGATACATCAACAATACCGCAGTCTCATGTATGTATTGAAAAGCAGGACTGACAGTTCACTCCAAGGGCAAAACAATTTTTAATATTACACAGCACACACACACAAAATAGGATTCACACACTGATGGTCATTTTAAAATAGTAAAATAGTCACAGTGGAGTGACTAGATAGAAAAATTCTGTCATAAGCACTAATGAATACCTGGTAAGAGTCCAGGATTAAAAAAAAAAAAAAAATTAAAATGCTTAAAACACATAGGTAAATACTTAATCGCAATTAGGCACCCATAAGACTGTGCCCTATTAAAACATTAATGTTCCAAGCACATTAGTTCATACTTACATACATTAGCGTACCTGTCAAATAGCTGCCATTTATAAGGAATGAAAGGTACAGAATTTCCCCTCACGCATGCGCACGCACACATACACAGAGGAAACTTCTGGAGAATCACAGAATGGCTGAGGTTGGCAGGGATCTCTGGAGGTCATCTCGTCCAACCCCCCTGCTCAAGCAGGGCCATCCAGAGCAGGTTGCTCAGATATTCAAAAGTCCAGGCAGCTTCTGAATATCTCCAAGGATGGAGATTCCACAACCTGCCTGGGCAACCTGTGCCAGTGCTCAGGCACCCTCACAGTAAAAAAAAAAAAAGTGAGAAGTGAGCCTTAGACACCCTTACTACTTCTTATTTTTGCTGAAGGTAGTTTTGTTTGTTCAAGTGAAAAATTTAAAGCTTGAACATTATCATTAGTAACATCACTAATTTAAGAGCTGGGCAAAAATCCATACTCCTGACTGTGAGAACAGAGAGAAAAAACACATAAATACAAGCAACATTTCATTTTATTTCAATGAAAGCAAAACTATGCAAATAAACCTTGAAATTCAACACGGAGCAAAAACCTCTTCACTGACATTTTGGTTTTGGCTTAACATTTCTTCTTTGAGTCATTTCACTTCTCTCCCACAGCCCCATTATATTACTCAGATTTCTTAGATGAACCAAATGTCACGGCATATCTTCATGATACAGAATATACTGCCCCTTCTATTTCACATAATACTTGCTGCACTTCTTGAATCCCTTTACTCCTTGCATTTTTTTGCGTGAAAAGGAGCATTAGAGTCTGCCATCTTCAAAAACAGCAACAATCCCATCCAAAACTGGAGATTTCAAATCAGCCTGTACGAGTACATTTATTGTTCATGTTCAGTCTACACCATTGTATCTGTCTTGAGTACAGAATTAACAAATGAGTACATTATGAAAAAAACGCATAGTGTAGGTTTGACTACTTCAAATTAGCATTTGTTTGTTCAAGTGAAAAATTTAAAGCTTGAACATTATCATTAGTAACATCACTAATTTAAGAGCTGGGCAAAAATCTATACTCCTGACTTTGAGAACAGACAGAAAAAACAAGGAAAAAGGAGGAAAGGTACAGAAGCAAGGAAAAATAGTCATATAGCATTAAATCTTAGTATCAAAAAAGTGACTGCATTTGAATCAATTGGAAGAGTTCTTTGATTCCTCATTGTCAGTGTGCAACTGGAAACAAAGGAAACCTTTACCACACAAATGAAGGAGGCGTTAAGCAAGTTAACAGCAAGTTAAGTGTGTGTGGACGTGCGTATGTACGTACACATACAGGGGCAGGTAAGGGAAGAAGGGGGAAATAGTCACCTTTTACATCAGAGTTTTCCAGTTCAATTGTTTAATCAGGAGAAATTGCCTCATGAGCTCTCATGACCACTACTTAACATTCCTATGGAAACTAAACTGACTGTAAGAAAGGGGAATAGGAAAATACTTTGTATTTTTAGTTTTCCATATTGTATTCAAGAAGGAAAATTAAGTTGTCCAAGTCTTCATCTAGTCTTCTTTTCCTAATGGTTCTGACAGGTAAGAACAAGGTAAGTAAGCACTATACAATCAACCAGCTTGCATCAGGTTTTTCAGAAAGTTGTTCTGGATCTCAGCTTTCAAACCTGCATTTGATAACACAATACTACTTCTTTCTTAAGATGTCCTTCATTAGGAACAGAATGCATATACCACAATTAACTCACTGTCTTATGAATTATTTTAATGCAATTCCACTTGCAGTTTAATGTGTTTTAAAGCAGGAGGGATTTATTTACCTCCAAACCAAGCATGGATTGCACAATAAAGCACCAGAAGGATACCTCCAGGATATTGACACAGTGACAAAAAAAGACTGGTTTGCATGTATCTTGTGTTCTAGTATTTAAAGAAGAATTCAAACGTAAGATGCAGACTGAAACAAATTATAAATATCTATACAGCTTATTAAGGGGGCCATAAGGAGAACAACCTTGACACCGCTATCAAATAAAGTATCAAAGTCAAATTTCAGTACAGCATTAACTACACAGCCTTAAATAACGCTCCCATGCTACAGACTTTCGAGATGAAGACAACCATAGCCTTTAGAAATAATTAAAAATGTTCCCCTCCACCTCAGGCTAAATTGTGTTGTTTTTAAAGATGGCAATAAGACAATTCTAAATGAGAAGAGTGAGCTCAGGCAGTATCTTGCTTTATTTTCAGTAAGACAAGCTGACCCCTGCAGTACTTCTATTAGCATGTCAGTTTTAAGGAGGTCAAATCCCTTACTTTCTCTTGGCCAATTACTGCTGGGATGCTGGTTAAGTTGGAGAGGTAACAAAAAAAAAACCCCACACCAAGATTTTAACTTTTTTTTTTTTTTTTTAAAAATACAGTGCTACAA